GTAGTTTTCCTACGAGTTTGAAAAGTCTCTGTTTGCGAACCGAGAGGTTTGCGGCCCGAGCCGAAGGCGAGGTCCGTAACGAGGTTCGTAAAGGAGACTTTTCGAACGAGTTCCGGAAAACTGCTTTTTTGCCCGAGGAAGTACCAGCCTCCTAAAACCACCCGAGGGCGGAAAAGATAGTTTTTTAACTTTTTAAAAAAAGTAAGAATAAAAAAAGATGAATTGTTTTAAAGTAATTACAAAAATAAATGAACAACTATTTAGATTTAAGTTCTTAAAAATAGATAAAATTCCATGATAGTTTTAATTTCTTGGACACAACGTAGTAACGTACCTACACTACTTACCATTAGTATACTGTTTGGAAAAAAAACAATATTTTATTCAAAATTATATTGAAACGCCTAAAAGTTAAAAATTTTTTTATTATCTATTGACGCATTCCATGTATGATTTAAATATAAAAATCAGTAGCAGTAAGGAAATATATGTATGTATAAAATGTCGCAGTAGTATTTCTTGAATTTCTTGAAAAAGTGAAAAGTGAATAAAATTTTGTAACGAGTTATCTCACTTAAAATCATTTACTGCTGAAATGGTTTTTCGTACCTTCGGACAAGATTTTTTTACTTTGCGCTTCAGGTCCAAACGACATATTAAGAAAAATGATTTACTACATCGTGATTCATTCGAAAAACGTCTTTTTTTTATCCCAATTTATAATCCAAATCAAGAATGTCTGAAGCCAATGCAATTATGTAAGTTGTAAGCAAACTAATTAGAAAAATATAATTATAACAGTTTGTCAAACTTCCATTTCTGATTTCAGAAACAAAAAATCAAGGAATTATTTGATGTAGCAGTACAACGTCAAACGAAGGAAATGAATGATAATATTACTGGTCAAGGAATTGACAATCACATAATGGGTTTGCGTTACACAGCAATGGAAGCTGGAGAACCAGTACCGGAAATCTTTAATGATGAAGCTTATAAAATTACTCAACACTTTGCTCTTTCAACATCTCAGGTAATTATTGTGTTAGAAATACATAATTAGCTTAAATTAATTAAATTAAACAGTATCTACACGTTAGTTAATGGTTGTAAATAATTAAATTGATTCAGAACCAAAAGGAAACTAAAATACGTTCATTATTCAACCTTGCAAAGCACTGAAAGACTTCAATCTTGAAAATGTGATCTTAGTTATTGAAACAGTTGTTTTTTGTTATTATTATTTATTGAAATTATATATAATTAACCAAGATCCATATGAATATGCACTTTTATAAAGTATTATCGATCCATTAAAAAAAAATTTTTGGAATAAGTGTAACTACGGCAAGTAGAAATTTCTTTAAAATTATTTGTTTAACTTTCAACTCATAGGTTTATAAATATTTATCGTATAATTTTGGTTCCTCATGGAAAGAGCTTTAAAATAGGTCAAACATTACATATTGAGACAACATGTTGTGAATTTGTCTCCTGAAACTTGAAATAAAAATAGAGTACTCTCGTGAAGGTATCTGTGTATGTCTTATAGTATCTCACATCTCAGCATTCCTACAACTGAATTTAATGTTCTTCGCCTTTTTTACTTTTGAATGCTTATTGCCACTAAATAAAGAAATTTCAATTTTATTGATTGGGTTTTCGTTTGTTTCGATTGTATCAATTTAAAAATTAAATTTTTTACTTAAACATTTTTATTTTTTATTTTTATTTGAAGTTTATTTTATACTGCAGAATTAAAATAATTATCAAATTTCGTACAAAAAAGAATTGCATAATTTAGAAAAATATGTGTGGGCGTAGTGGGTGAATACATGCATACGTTAGTAGTTCATCATATCTTATGATTTCCTGATTTTCAGTGATTTCCACCTACATTCTTTATTTCTATACACTTATATGACCTCTTGTAAAAAACTTTTAATTTCATGCAGTTTTTTTTGATTTCATCAATTTTAATTACAAATTAATTATGAAAAATTAATTTTTTGTATTTTTTATCGTTTTAGCATATTGCATGTTGAATAATATAAAATATGGTTAAATTTCATACAAAAAATTTTATTTAAATCATAGTATATAAAAATATTTTGCAGGTGTGTGTTGGCGTGTATGTTCATGAGTGTTTGATTGATTATATCTTGTGATTTTTTAAAATGATTTTCATAAGNCAATGATTCTTGTCTACTTTTTCAATGTATTTTGTATTTAATCACTTTTTTTTTTTTTTCTTTTCTTTGAAAGTCCAAAATTTGTATTTACATTTTTGGCAAGAATTAAAAACAAATTTTTATTACTGATATTAATTTAAACTTCTTAGGTAGAAAATTCCCTGATTTCATGACAACTATGAATGCAAGCTTATCATACGTTCACTCTTTAGTAGCGTGAGAACGAATGTACTAGTAAGTTGGTCTATTAGCTAGTATTAGTACGCTGTATTACGACGACGACCCGATGAACCCTACGTATTTTTTAATAATAATTACTGCATGAGTGAAAGCCGTGATATTTTGGTTAATAATCTATGGAAGTTGGTTTATCTTTATACAAAGGGATATAATTATTTCTTTTCCTTAAGTCTCGGTGTTGAATAAGATATAAAACCTTATTTTTTGTAAGAATTATTATTACCTGATTTTGTGTTCTTAGACAAAAATAAAGTGTTTATACACACGTGGTAACGTACTAAACAACTTCATTTTATACGTATGTTTTTTGTTTGTAAGGTAGTAAAATTAATCTGAATCGGATAATTTACTGTCAAAAATAATTATATCGTTTTTCTGTTAATTAGTTAGTTGTTTGCATAACTTCTAACTGTGATTAGATATTCAAGTAATAAACTAAGAATTTATTTAATTTTATTTGAGATTATTCAATTTCTATAACTATTAAGTATTAACGTGACATCCCAGCAAGTAGAGACAAGAAACGATGAAACATAAAATGGCTTTGTACGCAGGGGGAAGGTCCATGTGTTTGAAAAAATCTTACATAATTAATGAAAGGTCCCTTATACAGCCAATTTGTTAAAGAAACTATGTACGGACAGTTGAAACGCTACAAATATTTGTATGCTTATTACTATGCATTTCTATTGATATTACTATTCGCAGGAAAAGTGAAATAAAAAAATTAGAACATTTGTAAAAAAAAAACTGTTATGGCAATAAGCAAAAAATTGTCATAACTTTCCTAGTAGGGAGATAGGTACTCTTACCCCTAGTATGAAACAAAATGCTTCACATCGATACAGGAGCTTTACCACATGACAGAAAAGGTTTAAGCAAGCATTTAAATGATATATTATAAACTAATACATAGGCTCAAATGTGTAACATAGACTCAAACAGTACTTTATTTAACTATTCCAAGTTAAAACTATTATCCAGGTCAGGGAGGAGTGATCAGTCAACATCGAATATTGATCAAACTAGCTTTTAAATTTTTCGACTTCGTAATAAAATGATGATAAAGTTAACGTATCTCATAGAAAAACTAGCACTTTATGAAGTTATTTATATGTGCTAATACGTACTACATTTTTTAGAGAAAACCTAATAATTCTCAAAAAATAAGTAATTTTTTACCATACTGCGCCGAAAGTAGGAACTTCCCTTCTCTCAGTGCAGGATGAGTGAAAAATAGAATACGCACCACGTTTGGAGGTTAAGAAATGCATTAGATTTCACATTAACCACCCTCGGCTTCGGCTCGGGCGTTTATTCACGTAAAATCTAAGATATTCTTAACCTCGCTCACTAGGTACGCAATCTACCATTTTTAAACTGTATTTGAAACTGCACGATAGTAAGTTGAATATCTTTAATCCAGGAAGTAAATTTTTTTAGTTCTATCAATATTATTTGACTGAATTTTATAAAACGCTAGCACAAAAATACCAAATTGGGACTTATTTTACTATTTGGTAAGGTTTCAAGCAAATAGTGTAATAAAAACTTAATCTCATTTCTACGTTAAACTAAATCTGGACAAAACTTGACTAGAAAGTAAATTAATTCTTAATCTAGATCTTCTGTATTTCAATGGGATTAATGTACTTTAATTTACTTAAAAAATGTTCATAAAATAAAAAAAAAATTTGGTCCGTAAATTAGATTTATGTCCAACAACTTTTTTATCCCTTAAGTCTTTTTTGAGTCAATATTAATGTTTATTTCTTATTTAAGATAACGACGAGAAACGACGTTATAGCTGGTTACGGACCAGTCGTTCCTAATGGATACGGTTGTGGCTACAACGTAAGAAAAAATGGTTTTATTTTCTCTTGTTCCACCTTTCATAGCGATGAAAGCACTGATGCAAAGAAATTTGCTCAAACTTTAAGGAGAAGCCTGCAGGACATGGCTTCAATGTTGAAAGATTCTAGTCAACAATAATTCGTAAAATGAGTTGTTTAACCTTTCAACCATTAGAAACGTGCACGTATATATATCTACGTAGAGGTATTAATGAGAAATCATATGTTTAAAAAATTATCAGCTAACTGTAGCGCAACAAATGTGTAAAGATTGTAAGGAGTGGCCATGATGTAACGTTATAACGACTAAAATTAATAGATTTACAAAAATGGCACTATGGCAAACAAAAAAAGAAATATTGAACGTTATATTGATGGAACGTACTGGCTTACGTTTAAAGGAATAGTAATTAAAGTGGATCTTTAATTACAGATATACAAGCTGTTTACCAATGAAAGTAATATGAAAGTAAGAAAAAATGAAAGTATTTATCTTAGATGCGTGAAGAAAATTTATTATATGTTTTGGAAAATTTTTAAAAGTATCATTAACTGCATATCAATTAAAAGCAATTAATGGGATGGTTTGTAACTTTAGTTATCGACGATACCCCCATAATATAAGGAACAGTCAATTTATTATGTAAGATTTTTTACACGCGAGAAGAAATCATCTATCACTTTCATATGAAAAGCATGGTTTCAAAATGTGTTCTGGGTTTTTTTTATAAATCATTTCGGTTAAAAAAAAATTGTACACAACATTTTCAGAAAAAAATGAATTTTTTTAAGCTCCTCCCACATTAAGAAATTGGGCCACTTTTAACAAACGTCATGTAAAATTTATCTCAAAAAAATACCACAGGGAGGTAATTTAGTTATCACTAGAATTAGAAAATCTTCCAGTAGAAAGCAGGAATACGTTGAGCTTGCCTCAATGACCATGAAAAAATAATTGTATGGTTATAATGTAGTATACCAAAAGTTTTATAGCAATAATTTTACGAAATTAAATTAAAAAAATCTATCTTGATCAGCCTGAAGAAAACTTAGCGTTAAATAAAGAACATGTGACTTTTTGTAAGGCACATTACTTTTTTCAATGTATTTTGTATTTAATCACTTTTTTTTTTTTTTCTTTTCTTTGAAAGTCCAAAATTTGTATTTACATTTTTGGCAAGAATTAAAAACAAATTTTTATTACTGATATTAATTTAAACTTCTTAGGTAGAAAATTCCCTGATTTCATGACAACTATGAATGCAAGCTTATCATACGTTCACTCTTTAGTAGCGTGAGAACGAATGTACTAGTAAGTTGGTCTATTAGCTAGTATTAGTACGCTGTATTACGACGACGACCCGATGAACCCTACGTATTTTTTAATAATAATTACTGCATGAGTGAAAGCCGTGATATTTTGGTTAATAATCTATGGAAGTTGGTTTATCTTTATACAAAGGGATATAATTATTTCTTTTCCTTAAGTCTCGGTGTTGAATAAGATATAAAACCTTATTTTTTGTAAGAATTATTATTACCTGATTTTGTGTTCTTAGACAAAAATAAAGTGTTTATACACACGTGGTAACGTACTAAACAACTTCATTTTATACGTATGTTTTTTGTTTGTAAGGTAGTAAAATTAATCTGAATCGGATAATTTACTGTCAAAAATAATTATATCGTTTTTCTGTTAATTAGTTAGTTGTTTGCATAACTTCTAACTGTGATTAGATATTCAAGTAATAAACTAAGAATTTATTTAATTTTATTTGAGATTATTCAATTTCTATAACTATTAAGTATTAACGTGACATCCCAGCAAGTAGAGACAAGAAACGATGAAACATAAAATGGCTTTGTACGCAGGGGGAAGGTCCATGTGTTTGAAAAAATCTTACATAATTAATGAAAGGTCCCTTATACAGCCAATTTGTTAAAGAAACTATGTACGGACAGTTGAAACGCTACAAATATTTGTATGCTTATTACTATGCATTTCTATTGATATTACTATTCGCAGGAAAAGTGAAATAAAAAAATTAGAACATTTGTAAAAAAAAAACTGTTATGGCAATAAGCAAAAAATTGTCATAACTTTCCTAGTAGGTACTATTATAGGCAATGTACAATGGCTGATATGAGTAACAGCTTTATAATTTTTCACGATAATTTTAAAGAATATAATATTGAAGGTGTTTAATTGCAGTTTTTGATGTACGATATTCAACTTTTTACATCATCAAATGTTACGTCAGTGAAAAAACTAATTTGTTGATTATACAATTTAAAAATTATAAGGCTCAGAAAAAGTATGGACTCATACGAATAAATGACTTGTTTTACATCATTTTTTCTCACAAGCTCTGATTTGTTTGGTTACAGTTCAAATTAATCTGAGATTTGATATTTGAAGCAATATTTTTCTAAAAAAAATAAGATATAAATATTAAGTACTTTTTAGTCAAAGCATCAAAGATCGTTCGACCAATAAAAATTCATACTGCTGAGATCTGACTTTTCTCTATTGTATATATTATTATTGTTAAGGTTTTTTTGTGTTGTTGTTGTTATTGTTAATGTTATTTTTATTTTATTTTTACTATACTTCTAGACAATTGAAGCATTGACTCTTGGCCTTTAATTATAATGAGTAAAAATCTTAGTCATAACCTCTACATCTTTCTTTATCTTTGGACGGATACATTTTTTATTAATACTAGAGTTTGAGTTGCAATCGAACACCAACAATATTCTAAGTATCAGAAACAGTAATCTTATTTTTTTTATTGGTGCCCGCACAATGATTCTTGTCTACTTGTTACTTTTGTGCGTTTGTTTAAATTTTGTTAAAGATTTCTGTGCTCTATCTTGTACGTGTTTAGAACGTTTGAAACGAAAATATGAATTAATCTCTATTGGAAAAAATTTGTTGTCATTTCCGAAGCGCAATCGATTCTGAATATCTTAAGGAGGCTCTTGTTACCTGGTAATACCTATTCTGAAATCATTGGTCTAACCGGTTGAAACGATTGAGTAGCCGACGACAGCGCGTTTTTTACTTGTATTTAATACAGGGATTCTTGCAGCTACTTACGTCTAACAAAAATATCTTGATTTTTTTCACGATAACCTACATTTTACTGGAGACAATCTGAAAGATGTAGAATGTTTCTTTAAAATAACTGTATTTTTGTTTAGAGAACATGCTGTCACAGTTGGATTACAGCCAACATACAATATCTCGAAGCACAACTCCATAAGAGTAATAATACGTTGAGTCAACTTTGGCATCGAATATCTTAAAATTTTCCGCGATAACGGACTAAAATGCGGATGCCGTTAGATTCTTCGCATTTTTTTTCTGTAAAAAAATCACTTTTCCGGTGTGGAAGACATGTGCAAGAGCCTCCTTAATGAACTTAGAGACGATTGTAAAAAACACAGCTGAGTATTGTTGAATTAGTTGAAAATAGTTAGATTCAACCATTAGGTTCATAATAAAGCACCACTACCTATACTATAAAAGTCATTGTAAACAAATGAACAAAATAAATTGTAAGAGGCAGAAGCAAGACACCTTTCTAGTCGTATAAGGATTAACCATACTGTCCCTCATAACAAGTCTTCAATATGTTCTTGTAAGATATTAATTATATAAATTACGTTATAAAGCGAGATTTGGAAATATTTTTGAGTAATTTTTTTGCAAGCACAGTTGTCATGCTTACAACTAAAATTGAAATTGTGGGTGATCCTTATACAGTTTTTCTTGGTAGTTGTGTAAGTTACTGTTATGTATTACTAGATGTTTACTGTAATAAAAAAATAACTTTATTGAATGTTAATGAAAATATTGTGACTTAACAATGTTAAACATGAAGATTGCTTTGGTTATAAAATTTAGACGTGGCATTACGATCTGCGTCTGACACGGAGGATGGCCTACGCTTTTTATTGCAGAAATTCCACAACGCTAAAAAGTGCAGATATATATATATATATATTTATAAATCATTTCGGTTAAAAAAAAATTGTACACAACATTTTCAGAAAAAAATGAATTTTTTTAAGCTCCTCCCACATTAAGAAATTGGGCCACTTTTAACAAACGTCATGTAAAATTTATCTCAAAAAAATACCACAGGGAGGTAATTTAGTTATCACTAGAATTAGAAAATCTTCCAGTAGAAAGCAGGAATACGTTGAGCTTGCCTCAATGACCATGAAAAAATAATTGTATGGTTATAATGTAGTATACCAAAAGTTTTATAGCAATAATTTTACGAAATTAAATTAAAAAAATCTATCTTGATCAGCCTGAAGAAAACTTAGCGTTAAATAAAGAACATGTGACTTTTTGTAAGGCACATTACTTTTTTCAATGTATTTTGTATTTAATCACTTTTTTTTTTTTTTTTTTTCTTTGAGAGTCNCACACTGTTAACCTGAAAATTGCAAGAGACTTTTCTTTGCATCTAATAAAATGTTTAATTAATAAATAACGGAAACTGCTACATTGTAGCAGCTCGCTATAAATTGAAGTTAACATGTATTTTTTTGATATTTTCAACAAAAATAAACTGTTTTTTAATATCTGAACAAAATGTGACAACGTAAATGATCAGGCTATGCCTACAACCTCACTGATGTACAATGAAGTTGAAGATAAAAATGCACTTACAACCGAAAATTTAATTGGATTTTCAGTATTTGTTCATTAGATTGATAATCCCAAGAATAAAATTTTAATTTAACTTGTCGAATTTAATTTTTTACTTTTAAAATTATTTTAATTAAAAAGAAGTTTAATTGTGTACTAGTCCAGTTTAATTTAGTTAGTAAGCTAATGGAATAAATGTAATTCTGTAGAGCATTTTAAACAGTAAATCTACTGTCTTTGATTTCCTCAAGTGTCGTAAACTTATACAATATTTCTTTGATCACTTATTTAAAAATAAATGATTGATTCTTATTATACACACAAACGTAAAATCTGAAATAGTGACATAATATTATGAGTGCTTGATACAAATAAAAAGTGCAAGTTGAAACATAGGCACAACTATGATTTTCAGAATCCAATAACTATTGGCTATAAATGTAATATACTAGATAATCATATATACCTTAGACATATGGAACTTGAAAAACGTAATCGATACAAAATTTAAAACATGATCTAGAATTTGTAAAATGAATGCCAAATGAGTTTTGTCATAATATTAATATTGATGCATATTTAATTATACACTCATACATATACATTCTTACATGCATGAAATAGAACCAGAAAAATAATTTACTTAATTTTAGAAAGTTGAAAAGTGAAATCAATAAACAAAAGTGTAATTATATTATTTGGATGAGTAACTCATAATATAAGACAATTCAATAAACCACTGTGACATTTACAAGAGTAAATATTTTCATTACGTACATTTTTTTTCTTTAATAAATCAATAAGTGGTAGAAAAAATCTCAAATAATTTTTAACTTTTACTGATATCCATCTACATACTCTAAACATATAATTTTCACTTAAATGACCTATCCTCCCTCTCCGTAAAACTAATACAAAACTTGTTTTTAAGTGCTCACTTATAATTACTTAATCCAGCATAAGGAACGATACTTGTTGACGAATATTCTTATCAATTAACTAACTGCATAGTTCGATATTGCCAATAAATAAAAATGCCAATTAGCTCTAATGCTTTTTTTTTCTTGTTTGATTATAATTTTAAAGATATGTTCATCATTATTATTTCATTATCATTATTATATTGTTGTTTTAATTATGATTATTATTTTTTTTTGTAAGTTTGGATAGGGTAATTATTGAGTTACACAGTTTTAACAGTCAAGCTTTTATATTACTAAAAAAAAATTGAGATTCATGTATTGAAGTTTCTCTTAAAAATGAGAATTTAATTTTTATATATACTAACGGTCAAAAATATTTACTAATAAATTATAAAGTTGTATATTATTACGAGATGGGACGTTCTTCAATTTAATTTCGAGGCAAGACGTTCTTTAATATAATTTCAAGAAATTACGTTTTCAAATTACATATTCGAAATAAGAGATTCTGCAAATACATTTCTGAGATACAACGTTCTTTTACTCAACTGACGATATGCTG